ACGTGCAGTGTTCAGTAACGGTAACAACTCCTGAACAACAATATTAGCTTAGACTACACCATAATTGCCCACTGGTGGGTCCCAACTTCCTTTCTATCCGTTATGCCCTCTACTGACTGTGTAACACCTTTCGTGGAGGGTGAACATTGCCTTGATGTGGGCTTTTTGCTGGCCAAGCATGCGTCAGCCGCTAGATTTAGTGCTGAGTATCAAGTTTTGTGTCTAGTACATGCCTTGGAGGTCTGGGAAAGATGAAGGCCGAATTCTACAGCAGAATGGGTGATTTTTTGAGGTCTGCCTGGGACTGCTTAGAGGCAAGGGCTGTTTGTCGCTTTTTCCGCGTTTCCCGTCAACTGCATGATAGGACCGGCTGTCACCGCGCCGGTCTACGTGCTGAATCCTGAAAGGTGTCTTCTTTCGTTGTTGAAGACGCAGGGGTATGCTCGTTTGCGTTCGAACGGTCAAGCAGTCTCCCATTTGTTGAAGCCCCGCCGGTCGGTTGTGCCAATTAGACTTGCTGGTCATCCTGCGACCAGCATGCATCTTTCTTAGAGTAGAGTCAAAATAAAGCATTGGTGGCTTCTGCTATGCGTATTCCGATATTTTGCTACATACGAACTATGAGTTGATTCCTATGCTTGCTCGTTCTCAGTTTCCCCGAAGGCTGTTTCTGAACTGATTTTGACACAAGCCAATGAATCGAGGGTTGTACGAAAGGCTGAAATGCGGTGGTCCCTGCAGGCAGGTGAGTCTCTCTGCATAAATAGAGCCTTCATTAGAGTAATGCTTCTATAGTAAGCCCTGCACAGGGAGCACTCGTTCCTCTGCATCTCGGAGGGAAAACGCGAGATACATCTCCAGCCGGCTAATGGAACCTTCGGATGCTTGCGTATCTTTTCCGTCATCACGCTTTCCTGGCTGGCATATTCTCATAAATGCACCCATATGCATTTACTTAATGAGGAGCTCATCCATTTGAACCTACCGTACAGCGGCTACGTTCATGGTGTTTTGCTTTCCGGCCTCGGTCGCCCTCTTACGCGTCGTGCAGCCGTCAACTTCTGTCACCAATTCCCCGCGGCTGGTGGCAGAGAAAATCAAAATTACTCAATTTTAACTAGGGTGAGCAAAGCCAGTCAGCTGGTGTAGGGAAAAGCTTGCCATCCCACTGCATCCACAACATGTAAATTATCGGATTGCAGCTGCAGCAAACCATGCGGTGGTCTCAACTGTAAGATTCCATCTAGGGCCTCCGTATAGGGACTCTTGATTCCATAGTTCACGATTCCTACTGCAGCCATATCGTTTGTTCAGAAAGGTTCTCCTGTTTTTTGGTGGCGTCCCTCGGACCTCCGGATATGAGCAAAAGGGGCAGCTTGTGTGCGCGCTGCTACACCCTCTCAGCACTCCGAACATTTATCGGCATTTGCACATAGCACCTGGCGCATTTTCACACAACATTCTGCCTTCATGTATTCAACCCATGTAGTACTTTGCAAATAAAATATTAAAGAGCAGACAAACCAGTTCATCAATTCTTTACTAGCTCTGAAGTGAATATAAGTAGTTCAGTAGAAAATGGCTCGGGAATACTTAGCCCTTCAAATTTCTTAATGCAGAGAAGTGTTAGCACTTCGCAGTAAAAGTTCACTGTCGTGTGTGTATGTGCGCTCCACACTCGAAATGCAACCAGATGTGAGTGCTGAGAGTGCATAGGCGGTGCAATAACTCTCAAACGTAGCTGCCCCTCTCTCATACCGTCGGGAGCTCTGTAAAACTTATGCAGAAAAAGCAGAACATACTTTGACAAAAAACACCTCTTTATTAAGCTTTATATCAAGTGTGAAGCTGAGGGCGACCCTACGGAGAGCGCAGACGGAGCAATACATTGACACCCAAGCAGCTAGGGGTCTTGCAGGCCAATAGTCTATAACTGTCCTCTACCCGTTAATGATACTAATTTAGATTCATGAGCAGGATACCGTATGCATGAGACTCTGAGGGCGTTTAAGAAGTTGTAGCCATCGAGTTACGGAACTTCACACCCGTGCTTCAGTGCACATTGGAAACCCTTGATACTTTATTGTGTTAAGAAGACTTGGCAAGATTTTGAATCGCGCATGTCAGCGCCATTGTAATAAGCTAATTGTCATTGTGTCCAGTTCTGTCCTACAGGCAGTACAATCACAGAGGAGGTAGCTGCCTTGGTGCTGCGGCGCTCGTTCCTGGTGTAGTCGAGCCTGATAGGGTGTTCAGTGATCACCATGGCCCTGAGCGCCTTCTAGTAGTGATTATAAGGTCTGCTCAGAATTGCTGGCACTCAAGTTGGTAGGAGAGAGATAAGGTCGTAGGTAGCCCTGAAGCCTATCAACAAAACCATTTCGGTTCTGATCCTGAAGGGCCCAGTATCGCCGGGCAGAAGAGCTCCCCCCGTTTTGCGCCTCCTTAGCGTCTGAATTAGCCAAACCTCAAAAGACTTTTAACTGCAACTTACTCGCTCATATCATGCATGACTGGACTCCATAGGGTAATGCTCCATCTAAGATCGCTATAAGGACACACTAGCGCTACACTCAATATACACTTGACAAGAAGTTATTGAGTGCTTGTCATGAGGACTTCCCATTTCGCTCCCCGAGTCCCTCAGTTGTACCTTTTTAAGGGGCCAAGTAGAACTAGGGTTGGCATTGGTACACTCTCTAAGCACTCCGACCAATCACAGCTAGCTACACATAGCACCTAGCTGACGCATGCACATTGAGCTAATTTTGTATCGAGCTACCGCTACACTGCAATAAAAATGACAATCGGACACCTTTATTAAAGCGTCGGTGCTTTACCATTTTACTGATTATGTGAAACTAAGTTTGTTGAAAGAGTTGAGGTCCTGCTTAGTGCCTTCTGTATAGACGCATTGTAGTCCAGGGGAGTTAGAGCAATTACCTAGCGTTTACGACCCGTTTACTGACAATGCTGACTTCCAAAAACATACTATTATAATCATAGTCCGAGGGAGAGGTAATTTTATTGGTTGTATGCCTGACCGCATAGCCGGGTTTCCCAAGGTAATGTTCTAGAACAGAGCATCAAGAGAAGCTGCATGCCGTAGAATACGTAGCGTTGCCGTAGCACTACATCTCTCTGCCTATTCTGACTGCCTTAGCAAGTACATGACAATCAGCAGCTCCATCTACCACAAGTAGGATTGAATTTCAGGAATAGGCAGAACGAACAACGACGCAGCCTTCATGTGGTCCCAACGCCTGTTGCCTGCAGTGACACCTCAAACACTGGCTCAAATGTCAAGGGAGAGTAAAATGGCCACCGCTACGTAGTTAACGAGTTCAACACTGTTGCTGTTAAAGCCATCTTCACCGCTGCGGGCAATTTTGGATAGTGGAAAGTAGAGTGGGGTGATAAACATCCTGAGCCTTAGGAGAGCAGGTCCTGAAGCGTCAGGTGTGCGAAATGTGGGCTTCCTTCCACTCTGCGCATATATGTTATGTTTTGCCTATCATGATTTTGTATGAGATTGCTTTGCTGTTCCCCGTTCAGTAGTTAGCAGCGCTCTCATGACAAAATGATAGCCAGTTCTCAAGGTGATGTCCCAATTCTGCTCAGTTTGCATGCCTGAACAGCCGTGTCCTTGCTGCGTGGAATCTAAAGGAGCTATCCCACTTAGCCAGACAAACTTAAATGAATATCTGGGTGAAACATGTGACTAATACCCCTAACACCGAATTCCACAAGGTTGTCCAAGCTATACATACTTCAGACTAAAGTGGCACACGCTAATTATTAGAAAGGAGCGGGGCCGCACAAGCGTAGTCTGGCCACCCAAATCGATATTAGGTTGCCCCTTGGAATCAAATGGCATGATGCCTTATTGCAATCGCTTGCTCATTGCCACTACTATCTAGCAAGTGAGCAAAGCTATTGTCTGTGGTCAGCACTGCCTGCTCCAGCCCACTCGCCGAAAGCACAAATCCAGAATCTTCAATCCCGTGCATAATAATGCCGACGACCGGAGAAATCATAAATCCGTACTGACCACCTGCAACAAAAATATAACAAAACAACGAACGCATACTGCAAGCCCTCCTGGAGGTGAGCTGATTGGCCTGCTGATGAACGGGGTTGGATACGAGTGTAAGAGAGGCAGTGATGGATAAACATACTCGCGTAGTACTTAGGTTGTCAACATCGATCTCAAATGCCCCTGTATCACAGCATCAATGTACAAATACGATACTGGTTCTTAAATCATGGAAGCGATATAGATAGGAACCCCATCTGTTCTCTCTAAGCTCTACGCATTAGAAAGAATTTTATCCCTCGGCTGTCATGCAGGGCAGCATGCAGGCGATGGAGTTCCTGCCTAAGTAAAAAAGGAGATAAACTCGATACCCTATTCATCCACCGCCCAACAGCCGGAGTAATTCTCGAAGCATAGTAATACTATGAGTCCCCCATTTTTCCCATCAAAGAAATACATAGATTCGTTGCAATCGCCTCGTGATTTGGGAACCGGCGTGTGGCTCTGTGGACAACCTTACGCGACGATTGTGGTCCGGACTGACGCACGATAGGCACAAACGTCTCGTTCCACACAGCAGTGCTTAGCCGCCAACTGCGGCAGTACACACGGCAAAGTGCACAAGCATTTGCGTATTCCCCACGTGCTCCATACATGCTTCCACAACAATACCCATCGGAGCTAATACGGTGGAATACACTTAGATACCGTACTCCAGCTCATGGCTTTTCAACGAGCATATTCAACTGCGAAGGCCCCTTTACACAAATCGAAGTCGTGCTGCAACGCAATCCAGGAAGGATATTCATACCTTTTGCTGACCTCCACTGTGCGGGATGTCCGGTTGTCAGTAAAAGACAAAAGAACAAGCAGCTCATAGCAGTGACCATGACTACGTAGCTGAGCTTCAGTAACATCCCGTAGGGGGCTTCCAGCATCGTTCTGATCGACCTGCAGTGCAAAGTTGTAGCAAGCCTACACCACAATAAGGCTCCAACCTGCAAAAACTTTCCGAGGCACATTGAGGCATTGAAATAAAGCAGAAAGTACACCATTTCACTGTTAATTTGCAATGCTTTCAACCAAGTTCATGAGTCACTCTTACAGTGACAGTAATGGGTAAAGCCATAAATTCCAGGGGTGTGTCGGTGTGGAATATGGAAAATTGCCGGATCGAAAGTCCCCCTCGGCGATGTACCTATGTACCAGCAGAGTGGCACACATACAGTGCAGATATCCGCTTATGCGGCATTGGCAGTTGACGAGCTAGCAAAGCAACGCGCCTATATTATACTAAAACAAAAGACTACAACCGCGAAAGCTGTTCACCAAAAGGTACAGGGCAAGCCTAGGGTTGAAGAACGATGTTTCCGTAATGTTCAAGACGCGAAATGAAATCTTCAAATTCCCCTTGTTGCCTGCACACATGGTGCGAAGTCAAAATAAGAATGCGGAACCTCTATCAGCTAATCACCCAAGGTTATGGAAGACTGCGGCAACTCGTTGTCGTACCACAATTTGTCTCGGCAGGCGAAGGACTTCTTGAGCCCCATCGGTAGCTTTTAAGTAGCAATGAATCATTTGATGGCCTAGCCATGTACGTGTGACTCGGCATATCTCTCCGGTATTCATGCGCAGTCTTCTCAGAGGTGCTGGGAGATGCGTGTCCCTCCTTCCTGCTTTGCGGAGAGCCTACAGAGCAGAGCCACCCACCGCATCATCACCCAGGGAAAGCCCTTGTCCTAGTCAAGCACGGTCAACTAATCACTTATCGCTGGTAAATATCTATCGTAGGTGCTCACAGTCCACTTCCGGGATGCCTTGGAGTAGTGGCTCTTGCAAAGGAGCCTTGCTAGGCCCTGCAGGATTTTGCTTGATGCCTTCGACCGTGGGTCGGTGAGGTGGAGATGACGTCAAAGTGCTTGAGTCGACGATGAATCCATTGGCAGACGAGCGCCGTTGCGAACTTGCATATTCCCTTAACCCGCAAAAAGGCAACGAAAACTCAAGTTAACTTATTCAACTCCAGTAAAAAACTGGATGCATAAATGCATGTATTACTTCACACTAAACGCTGTCTGTGTTAACATAGCCACATGAGAGTGTATTTAGGCTTGCGGCACATATATGTGCTAGCCAGACGCTATCTACATCAGCGGACATGATTCCGTGCACCTCAACTGATGTCCCAGCCGCACATATACTGGGGAGCCAAAAGTAGCGTTGTATGCTGTGCCAGGTTATAGCTATTTAGAATGCACATACATATCCCACTGGACGCACCACAGGGCTCCGCCTGCTTTTAAAAAAAGTACATCATTTGGAGTTACTGTAATGTAATTCCCAAAGAAAGTATATCGAGAAGCGTTGTGCACCTTACCCGCTGGAAACGACAAGCTTCTCAGTGAAGGCCAGAGCCCACTTCCTCTTCGCGGCAGAGGAGAATTTCTGGAATACAAGGCCTAGGATAAGTGAATTTAGAAGGACACCAGTCACCACGATTGGGGTCACCATGAAGCTTGACACACGACATGAAGGATACCTGCGCAAGAAAGGGGAAGCGGCATTCACTCGCTTAATCTACCAGATTATTTGTTCTGTGCCAACGCGCCGTCGAATTAAATATTAATGAGGTAAAATATAAAATTCCACAGGAAAATCGGAAACTTCCGTAGCCCATTCATTGTGCTACATGATCCGCAACCTTGCTCTATATAAGCATGAGGTGCAACTACACAAAAATCCCAGACACTAGTAACATCACGAAGCAAGAGATCCACATATGTAGAGTTATATGATCGTCGTACCTTGGACTACCATAGCCAATTGCGAACATTGTTTCGACGACGAAGAAGAAGTAGTCCCACTGCGAATTAGAAGCCCCTAGGCACTCCTCCGCCTTTCCTTCCGTAGCCAGAAACAGAATCACTGCAAACACAGGCAGCAGTCCACACATGCGTGCTTGTTGATGAATGCTTGTGTGGATCGCTGAGGAGATTATCACGTACACCGTTGCTCGTTCCCGTAATCAACTTTGGTTGTTACAGAGCAAAAACAGGGGCAGGTGGGATGCAGTGCACTATTCAAAGCTAAGTTATACTTCAATATACTAACTCGATAGGATTGCAGCGCAAATGACCACCGTGATGAACACGAGGGCAACCAGGGGCATCCATCGCAGCGAAAGGATTGCGTGAAACCTATCATTGATTAGAAACTCAACATAACCCCCTGACCGCCAAAACCGGTGCTCAAGGTTAAGGCCACCATCCTTTCTGACAAAGTCCCGTTGTACAGAGACTGTGTGTGTAGCTGGCGTCTCCTCATCTTCTGGAAATTCGACGTGGAACGAGCGAGTCCGCAGTGCAGATTCCCAATTCAGAAGGGTGGCCTGCTGAATCCCAATACCATCAGGAGGGCTGACCTTCATTGTAACTGGTGTTCCAAGTGGTTTTATTTAGCTCACAGCCCACAGCCGGTGCATTGGCCAATGTGGTGCATGCTCATGAGTAATACTAGGGAGGCCCTATTCACTTTCAACGTTGAACACCTTAAAATAGAGAAGTCAGGATGGTGTTGTCACAGCAAAGGACGGTCTTTACCATAGATTCTATCTCATGCAGGGGGGCCACAGGATGCTCAACGGTGTGTAATGAAGAGTGGTGGCCTTGAGAAGAAAAAAGAGAACACGGCCCAGGTGTGCGAAAACGGAAATCAAAGAAATAGTTTCGCGTCTGGTTTAAACTGAGAAATAAGGTCCAGAATACCACTGCAATCGAGATAAACAGCACGGTCAGCGTCTACCAGAACACGTAACTCCCAACACGTGCAGTATCGAAAGAAAGCCCCAAAAAAAGCCCGTAAAAGTGGGCACTATCAACCCTTTCCCACACATAAAACTTCCTCAAACTTTCTATTACTTGTCTTTACCTTCTTGTCGCCTGACTGTTAAGGAAAACTACAGGGCTATCGCTACGGGCAGTTTGCACACTTGTCCATGTAGTAGCGGATGCACAGAATTCATGTGAGAATGCTCGTGCTGGAAACTCCGGGATAAGATTGTATACCTCCAAATATTATGGTATGTGGAATTCTGTGTAGCGCGAATCGTGATAGAAACAAAGATCTCGTGGGGGCGTTCACGATGAGACAAAGGTAGCTTACAGTGTCACGATTTTCCGAGGCCGTATACGTAGCAGACTACTCCATACTTCAACCCTTTCCCTGTATTAGTCACTTTTTGCTAAGAATACGTGAAGAAGTGAGTGATTACCCTGTCAGCAAATTTTTAAATTGTCGTGTAGGGTTAGCTTGATACAAGAAGACCCTGAATAGTGGGAAACGATTTAGATGGCTCAAAGACACTAAATCGCTCTCTACTTCATGTTGTATTTGCTGGAAATTAGTTTAAAATGGACCATTTAGCGTGACTGTTCTTACCTTTTAGTTACTCCAGAGTAGCGTTGGATCGGTAAGAAAACGGTCAACGTTGCGTCCGTGTGCACTAGATGCTATGTGCAACTGGTTGTCAAGACTGTGAGTGTGCGTGGAGGGTGCAGCCAAGCGAGCCCTATCACTCCCTCTCTCCTTAGCACGTCTAGGTGGCGTGGGCAGAGAAAGGCAGGAGCTATTTTGGACGACTCTCAAGGCCACTATTGAGGGGAGAGGGACAGATCAAGCGAAAGTAGCTGCGCCCTCCATGCATTCCGAGCAATCACGTGTAGTTGTGCATAGCATTTCATGCACATCCACACAACATTGAGAGTTTTTGTACCGATCTAACGGTACTTTGCAATAACGAAGATGTACGAGCAATCAAATCATATAGTCGCTCGTTTACTAATTTCCAGCTAATGCAGCGTAAAGTAGGCAACGACTTAGTGCCTTATTGCCATCTGAATCGTTTCCTCCTTTGCATGACCAACTCCTATCGCGTAGCTGTCGTCGGGACGAACTGTGTGTTGGACAGCCAAAGGCTTACCGCCCGATCACCACTTCCCGGGCGTGCACAAACGCGGGAAACACTACGATTGAAACTAAAATGTGTTCATCATCAGTAAGCTTAGTAGACGGGAAAAGAGAGAGACGTACGCACTAGCCAACAAACCAACAAGGGACCAAATCAAGACCACTGCGCCAGCGCCATGATTCGCTGTCGTTCGTACCCTTGAAGGGGTGGGCCCCTGCTACGGAGAAGAAAGTCGATTATGTAAAGTGAATCAAAAGGCACGCTTGGTCAGCAGTGACAACTCCCTCATAGAGCGCGGTCTGCATGCAAAAACAACTGGAGCATGGAGCATAGTCAATATCGATGCCTCAAAAGACGCTTGGGAAGAATGTGGGAATAACATACCTTAGAGTGTCTGCATGTAAATCTGAGAGTAGTGCACGTACCTACAATAATAACTGGGACGTTTCGAGGAGTACGTAATTATTCATGAATGTAAGCTTCTCAGACAGGGAATACGGGTTGAGGAAGCACAGATACGAAGGAACGCGAGTAGTTCCGTTCATGGCCAGTACGGTTGTGAATTCGCCGAGCCACAAATTATCCTCCATACAGCGAAATTACAACTGATCCTTCGTCAATCACTGAGCTTGACATTCTCAGCTCTATTTTGAAGGAAACTTCGATCTACTGTGTTCTTGGAGTTCAGTAATCCTAGAAATCAGCACATCCATGGCTCCCTGGGGATCCCCCGTTCTATACAGATTCCATGCCTACACGGCACAGCCTGGAAATGACTCGCTGAAAGTTGCAACTTTGAGGGGAAGGTGATAGTAACATTTTTGTGACCTTTAACTTGTAGGGAAGTTGATCGAAACAAAATGAGCAATGCTTTTCACAAGAATCTCAAATTGTCCGAACAGCCTGGAAGACGCTTCTTTGCTTGGTCACCTTGGATGTACCACATAAGCAAGCCGAGCCACGAGGCCCGAATCTTCAGGCCCGAAAACACAGCCAGCTGCCATTGGGACAAATTCACGCATGTGTGTTCGAGCTTTACCTATGCGTACGCTTGCATCGGGCAACAGCTCTTTGAGTTCTTCCACTGCCAAGGATGGCTGCGGATTACGAGCCACTAGGTCCAAGCTCGTTTCGGAGAGCTTCGCCTCATCTGTTGTGCTATAAACCCACTCAGTAGAGAACATAAATCAAGTTAGGCAGTTGGGTTTCTCTGAGCGCACAGTCATGAATACTGCGATGTTAGATTGGTGCGCTATGCTTGCCCATCTGCCTCAGGATGGCTCACACTGATCAGAGTACGGTCAATGCGTAGGCAGGTTACAAAGGCACGCTATACCTCACGGACATATTGCGGAATCCTTTTTGTAATGATACTCCTGGTGACTTCGCAAAGCTTTTAGACCCGAGCTAAGAGTTATTGGGGGACTTCCTGAGTCATGGAACAACTGAAGCAAGCGACGAACCAGGCATACTTGCATGGTCTGCCAAAAAAAGCCATAGATGCTTCTCTGACGTTTCACGTCAGGGAGCTCAAAATGGTTTTTATAGTCAAATTAGTCCAAATACTCGTAGGAAACGGGAGCCTTTGCGAAAGGTGGGGCTTAGAATTGTGCGGCTTGAGAATGTACAAGTCTAGCATGCCAATGCATACTTCTCTGCCGAAGAGCGCTTGCCAGGACACCGCAACCACAGTACGCGCTTCTTTAGCTTAAAGTGAAGTCAGCATGTTACGAAGGATTAAAGTCGTGATTTGCGCAAAAAGGCCCTGCAGAGCCAAGCCAGGATGTACAAACGGCGGAGTCGTCGCTTTTATGTTGTCACCGCAGGTCGTTCTCTGCTTGGTTGTGCTTCATGCTCTTACCCTTGTGGTTGTTGGTGACAGATTACACTCACTACGTCTTTTTTTCTCTCTTGATTTCTGCATAAAGCAATGGGTCAGGCCTTACATTAGGGCTGACCTAGGGTGTTCCCTGTTTGCAAAGGACTTCTTCTGCATGAATAGAGGCACCAGTCAGAGGCACCAGTCAGTTGCTTCATTCTCTAGTAAGCCGGGCAGACAGCCCACGTATTTCTCTGTCTGGAGGGTGCGAAACAAAAACATCTCCAACCGGCTGATGAACTCTTCGAGTGCTCCCCCATTCTTACAGCAGTCATACCTTGCTAGTTGGCATTTGATGATTAGCACGTCCATATGCAATGACCCGGCTGACATGTCATGCCTTTCTGACAGCTGTGAAGATAATGAGTGCAGAGATATTTGAAGGTTGACCCCGGTACCCAAACATGCCTTGTGCCACCGCCTATTTCCATCTCCAAAAACTAGTTCCGCGTATACTGCTGCCAACGAGAGTCAAAATTAAATTGCCAAATAACTTGGTTAAAGCCGGGCAACTGTTGTTGGAAAGCTTGACATTCTACTGCATTCACAGCCAATGGATGAGCTGAGAACAGTTACGTCGGCCATGTGGGGCTACTATCTGTAGGGCTCCGTCTAAGGTCTCTGTACGGATACACTCAATTTTAGACCCAATTCAAACTAACTGGCAAGCTACTGAGTGTTTTTCAAGAGATTTCCTGTCCTTCCCTGCCCATCCGCGCCAGAGCCCCAGTGTGAGAGGAGAAGGTCAGCTAGGATACGCGTAGCTGCACCCTCTAACCACTCTCAGCATCCACGCTGATGATAGTTAGCGCGGACCCAGACAACATTGCATATTTGTACTTCAAACTAGAAATACTCTGCAAGCAATAAGATACACGAACGATCGAACCGTTTGGTCGATTCCTTAGTAATTCTTAGTCAAATCTAATCTGTGTGGTAGATAGTGGTCCTGTCCCAAGTGTGCGCTTCGAGTACTATGGCACGTGTAGGACTATGAAATCATGAGTCTCCTACAATGCAAACGGGTAAATGCCAGAAGGTGCTGCATGCTCTTGAAGGCTAGTGGATGTACGCGAATAGCCTGTGGCGTGCCTAAGGAGATAGAAAGCAATTGATGCCAATGGGTTCTCAGGGCGGTCTCGCAGCGTCTCTTCCAATGCAGGATACAATACAGGAACCACGGTTTCCATGAGATATGCTATATCTTCCATTTGAAGAGCAAGCGGCTCGATGTGCATCACTTGACGAGCTGTTGTTGCTTCAGGGACTCCTAAGAGGTTGTTCCCGAACTTCCATGAGTCAGCAGCGCGTTTTTGGTGCGAACCCATTGTTGCAACCCCCAGTGTGGGGGCCGTTATGTCATTTGCTTGTGCCTCCACAAGAGCACTGGCCTCTCTTGCCATTTGCTGCCTCTGCTTTTCACAGATGGCGACGCCCGCAACAAGACAATCCGAGCAGGTGAAGTACTCCCAGGGACTAGGAGCAACGCGAGACGCGACAGCTCCGATTTCTAGCCGACCACTTCTCAACCAGCTATCCATAGGTGCAGTACTTTGTGAACTAGGCATTTCTTTCTCACTAGAGCCTGTCCACACTATTGGTTCAAGCGTTAGGGGCTGCTGTGTCAACACATCAACGGGCACAAGTGTAGGAACGTAGGACACTCCATCAACCACCGTCAGGATGCCTGGAGAGGAGAGGCACATGTGGAAGTGCGTCGCATCCTGTTTATCGGCCAAGATTGTTAGAGGGAACGTGATAGGTAACTCAGCCAAGGGACCCTTGTTAGGCGAGTCAGCTGCTGCGTTACATCCTTCACCACAGACGAATTCCGCTCTTACAATGCTACCTGAAGCACCCAGTCCTTCCTTAAACCCCTTAGAGTGACCACTATGCATATGTAAGCTATCTGACTCTGCTGGACTGTGTATGATGCATATTGCGTTGTTTTCCTCTAGTTCCTGATATATTAGGCCAGCGTAGATTTCCTGAATTCCCGTGTAGCACCGTCTTGCACCAGGTATAATTAGGCTCTGTGGCATCAATGGATCCAGACCTTGGCAGACCTCTGTATTGTCACCAACGTTAAGCTCATTATGAGGAAGGCTTAGGACAGCCAGAGAGGCTTCTGAAATTCTCAGGTCTGGGCTCCCATGTGTACCATCTAGAAACACCTGCATTGTGCTCACATGCAAGGCCTGTCGCACTGCCTAAAGGAACTAAAGAGAACATGTTCCAAAGGTGGTTTCGAGCTGTGCTATCTAGCAAGAGGAACCGGAGTAAGCTACGTGAACTCGCAGGCGCTCTTGAAGTCACGTTGTGGTGTCTGGTTGTGCTACGAGAATTGCCATACCTGCCTCGTCATGTTCTCCCCGTTAAAGCCGGGATGTTTCCCCTCGCAAATCAAATTGAATTCATGAAAAAATGCCCTTAAAGATGCACTGCCACAGGGACGCCGTGTGTGAAGCACCAAGCGAAAGGCTCTACGTGCTCTTGCAAAGGCAAAAAGAACGCTCAACAAGCAAGGAACAATCCGCCAGTAGCCGCTTTTGAGCTGGACTGGGAGAAGTAGTTGCGCTCCAGCTTTAGCCTCCTCCTTGCTTCCTTTATCTAGCTCACAGGATGCCACTTCACCCTCTTGCCCACACTCAACCATCTGAGGGCTCGTCGCATGCAACTCAGCAGTTCATCTTTCTCCATGGGCGCCATGGGAAGCTAGTTTCCTTACTGAGTCGACTTCGCACAAATGCGTGAGGGGAAACTGACGCTAAAAGAATTCACAAACTTACGACGCCGTCATCACGACCGAGCACCATGTTCGGATCTGGGGATTCACAACCTAATGCCACGCATACAGTGGGTGGAAGCATTAAATGCCTCAAGAGTTTTCTGTGGTCTTCAAGAAGACTTGCTGCAGCGCCATCTGTTGTATGGCCTCGTGCATTGCCTCCAGCTTGGCGCCGCATCTGTTTAGTGCTTTTGCCACTCATGAAGGCCTGAAGGTGCTGTTCTGCCTCTTCAACCTATTCAGCACCCCTACGACACGCACATCAGCTCTCGACCTATATGCTGCTACTCTATTGTACTTGTTCTAGTCAATATTCACCCAGTGAGCCTGAGCCTTTCCCGCATTTTGCTTGGTGCGCTATTTACTGCCTGCCAGTTTTGCGGGTTTCCGCATATGCAAGATGTGCGATGGAACTAAAGTTGTCGAACACTTGCATCTGATATTTGCTTAGCAGAGCTTTTGTAGCGAAGGCGCAAGTAATCGCCAAACGACAACCGTTCTTCATTTTGTGCTGGAGCACCCGAAATGCCCTGCAGTAACGGCAAAAGAACTCCTTCACTGAAACAGTCTGCGTGATTATAAAACGTGGGATCGTTGGACAAGGCTACTGGTTCCTCAGTGTAATGCTCAAGCTTGGCAGAGGAATGCTTCTTGTTGTGCAAAACATACCGGCAACCATCCTCCAGACTTGGCATTTATTGTCCCCCACGTTGTCTCCGCTAATATGTGAGAGGCAAGCCTTTTTGCAGATGTATCCAACAGCTCCCCTTTTATGGCATGCGTCGCCTTTTTGGCATACCTAGATGATGCAATCATAGTATTATCGACATCCACATGAATTAATATTACAGGTACTTGCTCCTGTGTTGATCGGGAGTAGCCAGTAGGCTGAGAAATTGCGGTAAGAAGCCAGCGTTTTGCGGAAGTTTTCCCCTCCATTGCTTTATAGATGGCCTACAGGCTTCGCATGACAACGGTATCGATACATACTACCTTGCTTGCGCGATTGCTTGCGCGATGCAGCTCATACACTACATTGGCTGGAGGATTCAGCAAGCCCATACATTCTTTGCCGAGTCTTTCAGCAAAATTGATCGATTTATTGTGTGTCGTTTAGAATGTTGCTCCGAAAATATGTAGGGTATACAAACGCCAGTTTTGAACCAATAGAAAGGATAAGCTTTGGGGCTTTTGGTGGCTGCATGCCCCTGCGCTTTCATTACAACCATTCGAATATTCTCGGAGCGAGGTAATATAATCTATCCACGCCCTTCAATGGCAACAGCTATTTTCTGATAACTTCCGCTCCATGTCCTAGCTTCTCAAGGGTGTAACCACTGCAAAGAAATCTTCGAGTACCTTCCGAGTTCCGAAGTTTCCCGTACCTCCAGGTAGTAGTACATGTGCTGGGAGGACTCATCAAGTTTGAACAATTCCACACTCCTTGATAACTTTCTACAAACACCTATAAAAAGCCAAGTCTGTGCAACTCTTAGAACTACGAATGAGAGCGGTAGATTCTAACATTAATGTGCAGCTCTCAGACATGCTCTGTAGCGGGCTAGTGTATAGAGACTTTCGACTACAAAAATTGTATTCAACTACGAGGTAGTAGAGACTTGAGTCGTTGGTCTGGGTGTAAGCATAATTTATTCCAACGTCTGTTCTAAAGCACAGCTAAAAGCACTGTTGTGTGCATGTGTTTTGAAGGCTACCTGCAAGCGGCCGTGAATGGTCAGAGTGCTTAGAGGGTGTCACTACGCGCGCCTTACATCTATTTTCTCCATCCCTTGGAATCACGGGGGGTAAAGGCAAGCCGAAAGCGGTAACCTTTAAGAAACAGTTACAATCTTTGCATTATGTTGTACTAAGCTTAAAATTAGGTGCCACCCTACAGAGACCTAGATGGAGCAGTGCTTTTGAGAATACAGCTTGATTTGATGCAGCGGGATGTCGAGTCGTCCTACAACAGTTGTCTGGGGATTTCAGTAGTCTAAGTTTCTTCAGCAAGACTGTCGGAGGGAAAGCCGCTTGGCTATGAAAGTTAATGTGCCACAGCGCATGTTGGGAAGGTTGGTCTTGGTTTGCGAGCTGATGTGATTGCAATAGATCCACTGCTCACTAACTTAATCAGCTCCGTCAGCCGATTACGTGCTTGTGGTTGTGTCAATGGAAAGGTGCCGACCAGGAATAGATCTCTGCCGCAAGGACGGACAAGCACTTGGACACTTCTTCAGCCCGGCTGAAGATCTACCTTGCTTTGGTCTCCCCGGGAAAAGAGCAACGCGTACTCCGTGCGCCAGGGTTACTGGAATAAAATGGACTTGACCAGTATATCTGTCTGTGTATTGTGCCCCACCCTGTCTAGAGGGAATACTACAGACCAGCCCTTGTTACACGCCTGGACTCATCGGCCTCTGCAATATCAGCAACAGCAAGCTTTGGGACAGCCGAGAAAGCCCGAAAAGGCGCTTCAGGTGGTTGCGGGATGGGCAGCTCGTTAGTGATTTCACCACCGACTGGTGGGGCTTCCACAAATGCTACACTGCTGCATTCAGAAGCAAATGAGCGCATATTCTACGTCTTTGGTCCATAAAAATCACCAACATCGGGACATAGTACGTAAGGATTTTATGCCGTGTGAGCTGGCCCTAGTCTACGGTCAAAGGCGAAGGAGAAAGAAAGCCGTAGAAAAAGCCTTGTTTCTAAGCAGCCGCAGACAACCCCCCAATAGCGCACCTGATTATTACTAAAGCATGGGTTATTTACTTCCGAACTTTAAGCGCATGTAAAAGATCAAACCCTCGAGCAATGGGACGCGGCCCAGTTGGAACAGCTTGCGTAGCCAGCAAAGAAGGCGCATCAGAGAAACGTAAATCCCTGATGCAAGTTGCGACTTACTGAGTGGGGCTACGGATGACCAAGCCTGTCTGCAAAGGTCAATTGCCGCTGCTTAAATATTACTGTGCTGCACTCGTATGCTGAAACCATGCGTAGTAGGCAGCACAAACTAATATTATCGGGTAACGGTGCCCCACAATTGTGCTGCCGGCCGATGCCAAGAGCGAGGACAACACCCATGGTGTATCATCTGACTTTCAGCTAAGTGGCCACTGCTACTATCGCAAAATTCGCTGGAGACGTTGAGGGAGGTGTGTGCCAACAATAGTCGCCAGGAGGCAGCTCAATGCATTTTGCGCAGTAACACTGATATCACGCTTCCAACTTCTTTCTTCTCAGCTAAACGCGCGCCTTGAAAACGTAAGATCTACATAATTAGGGGCTCTGCAAGTTCCTAGTCTATCACGGTCCTCCGCTCCTAAAGGATGTTAGCGCAGGTGCAATCTTGTCTATATTTTAGTCCAAAGCCATTGTGCGTGACTAGAGTGCTTATGGGAAAGGATCGTCTTTCAATTTAACAAGGGAGAGGAAGCTTACCAGTTAGCACGGTCGACGAATGAGCAAACAACAGAAACCTTGTTTTTGGCTAACTGCTTGCGGCTGAAGCGGCGCTGGCCCCCACTGGGCGAATCAAGATCTACTTCCCCAAATCTCCAACATGGCCTGCACACAACAACGAAAAGCACATAGAATCGTCAGTAACCGAAGAGCTTATAAGTCTTAATTCCTCATAGACTTGGTTATTACCTGGGGGCACTGAACGATTTCTAGTAACAACCATTGTCATGGACAATGCAAACCGCCTTGGAGGCATGCAGCAGCCGGCCCACTTAGCGTAAAAGCGTGGGCACAGATTCTATCCGAGGAGCGTATTTGTGGAGTCTTCACGTTGACTTTTGGAAGGAAAAGTAGGTCTTCTTCAAAAGGTTTGCATGGGCTTTTAGGAAGATTGAGGAGAGTGCCGTTGAAATTGGGCTACCCAATCGCAAGCCTTTATCTTGCATTGCAGACCCTTGCTACCCCATCGTGTTGAGGAGGCTTAAAACACCATCGCAACTGCTCAGTAAGCGTTAGTCCACAAATGGCTTTCCGTTGGAAGCCCCGGGTGTTGGAGGGAGGAGGCAGGGTGTAGAGTTGTTGGCTTAGGTAGAGCTGCAGGGTCTGCTGGAGTACAGTCAAGCCTGGTACGATCTTCACTTCTTTAACGTGGTACTTCAAAAATGTTTATTGGTGCTTGTTAAGAAACCGCCTGAACCTATGCCCTAGGTATGGGCACCCGTCCGTCGAGACTAAGTACGCACGGGGCAGTAGTAGCCTTTGCACCCTACCGCCGCGATCTGCGCCTTCTAGGGCCAATTCGACCTTTCATCCAGTTGTGCCTTCTGAGTTTTCCACGGAAGTACTGAGGGCAGAGAACCCTTGTGGCCTTAGCTGTTGGTGTGCTTGTAGGGTGACTGGGTCGACGCTGGGGGGGCACTTCAGGGACCTACATTATTCAATTCTACTACCAAACTTTCCTTTCGCGTATCTGTGCTTTCTTTTGAGCTGCCTAGATCTTGCTATTTTTCTTGGCTTGGCCTTGTGCGCTCGATTTTCCATTCTCAAACCCGCGCTCCTCTTCTGATGTCTGTCATTGCAAGAGGCACGACGTTGCCCAGTGTTCTAGTACCCCGTGGCTGTAGCATCAAAAGTCTTAGGTTTTGTCGAGTCTTTAGCATTTGGGACTTTCGATGGCGATGTCCGGTGCTCGTGCACGTGAAGCACCTTGTCCAGCCTCGTGTGCTGGGGGTTGTTCTCTGATCAGGGCCACGGCAGCCCTCTCTCGAATCGCTGGTCTTGCAGGCAGCCACTTGCGGCCGGGTTCGATCCTTTGCTTGGCCGTTTTGCCGAAGTTTTCAGGCCTTCGATATTCAATCTCATCTGATGTTGTCGGGTTAGTTCAGGCTCGATCCCAGCCTCTCTTGAATTGTTCCGTCGTCCTCTCATATCACATTGCTGCTGCACTCACTGCCTTCAGTTAGAATAGTTTCTTATAATTCCACCCCTGAATTGAAAGGTTGTTGTAGTAAACTCAATAACATGTCGTAATGAGGGCGCGATAGAAACAAACACTTAAGCATCTCATCCCGGGGATTTTCCCCCTTTGCTTAGGACATCTGCGTACTCTATCTACATCGGCCAGCTGAAAGTAGTTGCCACTGGCATAACCACAAAGCCCTGCAGGACGAATAAGTGGAGGTCTTTTCACGTACTTAGCATTGAATCTTAAAATTGTCCTAGTCGTGCAATGGCCTATCAAGGAATCACTGCCTGGAAGGCCGGAAACTCCGAGAGAGCTTTTCCCAGTAAAATGCGACGTGTTGTAGTACTGCTTCATCTGCCTTAGCCACCTGCTTGAAACAGCCCTGCAGATCGAAGGTGGATGCTTGCAACACGGACTGCTTAGTCTTTCTCGACTAGCATGAGACACCATAAACGCAAAGATGCCTGTCAAAGCCACCTTTCTCCTCTTAAAGAAGCGCTGTTGCACCTTCAACATGCTGCTCTCCACCGTGGCATCTAGAGAGTAGCTGCGCGTCGGTGTGCCTCTTTATTTGTTACCAGATGCCCTTAGCTGTGCGCGTTCTCGTGGATAATCTGGTGTTGGGGTGGATGTTACGTTAGCTGCAGCACATTGGTAACCCGCGCACAACGCATAGCGAGATGCCCAATTACCTACAGCCCCTGCTACCCACTAACCCTCTGCTGACCTTGGCCGTGCCAAACACCAATAATCTACGCACAAGCACATATGTAGCAGCTCAGGCGCATTGAATCCAGCCACACATAGCTAGGCCTAACACAGCAGACACACGTCAAAGGAATAAACAAGCTTACAAATTCAAGGCACTATTCACTTCGCCTAATCCAGTCCCTATTTTGTTATATTCTTCTGTATGCACACCACATCGGCCAATGTCAATGCCTCACTCTGCGCAGCCATCTCATTCACCTACCCGCAAATGCACCCATCAGTTGTTGCCTAATATCTGCAGCCT